TGGGGTTCCGCGACAGCTTACTATAGAGTACTTATTATTCCGAGGTTCTTGGTGCTTTGCTTAAGCTGGAGGGTCACCCTATACAGGTGAGGCATATACCAGTTCGGAACCTGGTATTTCTTGGTAAATAGTACCAGATCTGTATTTTCTGCGTTGATACTAGGCCCCATTTCGGTTGACAATAGATGTAGTTATTACCCGTAGTACTTGGCTTATAAATAAGTTGAGTAAGGACATGCCGTCTCCGCTTACTAAATGTCAAAGATATATCATCCGCATGTGCTTAAGCTCCGACTTGATTTTCAGTATAAACTTTTGAGCTTTAGCTCACTCCATCAGAGCAAAAATTAAGTCTGAGTTTAAGCTCAAGGGTCAAGGTATTTATAAGTGGTAATACCTTGATGAAAATTGATAGCATATGAGCAAATCTCACGAGTTGTTACATTTTTCGACAAAAACGTGTTTTTGGTCGGAAATGGTGGTCCACCTATCTTTTAAAATGCATTATCTTCAGTTTTGTATAAATAACAAGATTCCATCGCGAAATTGTATTTAAATGAAAACTTAAAAAAGATATACGTATGTACTAAAAAAAGTAAAAATAACCACTCGTGCTCATATACCCGTAGTTGCGTATATGACGTATACGCTGCGTAGCACCATACGCAGTCATCTATAACACGTTTACTCAATGTATTTTTTTTTTCATTTGGTGAGACACTAGTCTTATTAAAACTAAATTCGTTTGTTTTGGAAAGAAGAATATTTTCATCGTTTAATTTAAACATTTTGAAGTAACTTATATTTTAAAAAATTACAAAATAAGTAGTTTCGGTACTTTTACGCCTAAATAAGCGTTTTAAGGCTAAAATTGATTTATTTTTTATTGTACTTATTTCTGGAACGCCATTGATTGAAATAAATGCTTTAAGAATGCTTTAGCGTTTTTTTGCTGCCGAAAGAGGGCAGTGACACTAAAAGATTTGCTCATATGTCGAGGGTAAAAATGAAGGTCTAAATAGAAATGTTGAGAATATTTTCCTACATTTTCAAACGAAACAGGATTTTTTTGTTACTTCTAGGCCTGGCTCAATTAGGCTAAATGGAGAAGAAATTACTATATATGTATTTCTGAGATTTTAGAGCGGATCAGCAATACATCAATTCGTCGAGAAACTTGAATTTCGTTTCTAGGTTTAATATTTATGTACAACAATGTGCCAAGTTATTTGTAAGTGGTTGAATAAATCTTTTAAATACGTAATAAAAAGGTTTCCTTTGTAAAACATTTGCGAGGCATCTAATCAACTATTTATTTACGAGAAAAGAAGAAAAATAAATCTTTCTTTAAATTCCTAAGCTTTTAACAGGTTGCGATCGAGGGAAAATAAAACTTAAAATTTTATAGACACAATATTCACGTACCCTGGGGGAAATCTGTAAGGAATGTTAGGATCGCTTCTAATAATTTTAGGGATATAACTCACTTTCTTTTTAGGGTCTACTAATATTTCTATAGATGCTTTTGGTTAGTTCAAAACGTCTCAATATCAGCAATTTTGTATTGCAAATGCTGCACTCGAATCATGACAGTCGTGAATAAGTCGAAAATCGTATAAACTGAAGTTACATGACTTGACAGACGTCTGAGCAAATTCGAATTATGGCATACGAAAGCAAGCGTATAGTAATTTATTTAAAGACACGGCATATTTGAAGTTCACAATAGGGTTTGTCATGGATTTTCGGTTATAATAGATTCTGAAATGTTAATTTTGTTTGGCTATCATGTACGAGTAATATAGTGGTTTTTCTTACAGGGTATGCAAAACCGAAAGGGCAAGCACCAGCATAATGCACACACGTCCGCAATGTTGCAGCAACAACCTGTGAGTTGCTGTGTATAAATAAACCAACAAATATACATACATGCATACATATTTACATAAAAACAAGCATCTCTTAGAAGAATATGTACATATGTATGTACGCCTGGCATAGGGACTGCAGCACAGACTGAATACTCTTTTGAGAAGCCTATTAATAGGCGACCTAAAGAATTCATTTTATGAGCTGCTGCTTGCTATTATTAACTAGGGAATATGAAGCCCCAAACTATCACTGCAGACATACATACATATATATACACATATTATAATAAATTATAAACAAAAGAGAAAGTAAGGCATTAGTTTGCGCATTTATTAAGCATAGCATAAATATAAAGAAGGGTGGTGAGGTAGGCACTACAAAAAGTGTGTCAAAAATGTATGCTAGGAATGATATGAATGCAACCATAGGACTGTTAATTAGCGAGTCTTCATTATACACATGGAGGGAGGAGGGACGGACGATTAGTATGGCTGGATAAATATCTAAATACCTAGATGATTGGTGCGTTTAATCAACGCGGTGTGTGGCGTATGATAATCATATGAATGACCGGAGCATTTAAGTAGCAGCAAATCTTGACATACATACAAAAGTATATACAGAACGTAACATATGCTATAATCATAAATACATATGCACAAATTTTCTTATGTAAATATGTCTTATGAAGATACAAAATAGCTTGTGGGTGTATGTACATGGGAAACTAACAAATTAGCGGCACGAGTAGCTAAAAAAAAAATTGTCAAGAAAAGAAATGGAGTTGTGTAAGGGAGGTGAGAAATCATAAATTAAAAAACAAAGCAAATTAAAATCATAATAAAACCAGAATACAGCAAATGAGCAATTCAAGCGATTATCTTTTTACACAGCCTTCTGGAAGTGTTATCTTTTGATGTAAATAACTTTTTACATAAGACTATCAGATGCAAATATTTATAACCGATTAATAAATTGAACCTAAAAGGCAACTGATACATATTCTGCAAACGTGTTATAAGCTTCTGCGGAATTTTAGCGAAGCCATGTACATACGTATACAACATACATATATATGTGCATATGTAAATATTTATTCTTTTAAAAAATATTGTTGAGTGATAGTACACGCATTCGTTTGTGGCGAAATTGTAAAATCAACAAAAAAGTAAACAAACAAGTTAAAAAATTCGCAGATATCTATCAAAAAATCTGTTTACAATGAAAGTTTATTTCATGTATCACGGAAGCATTTAACAGATAAAGATAAAATCTGGGTGCCGTAGTTGATTGTGTTTGTGCGGAGCATACAGGCTAATATAACTTATTTCAATATGCATTCGAAATTATACTCCTTTTTTAACTGACTTCAAAAAAAAAAAAACAGGAAGGTTATCAATCCATCAGAATATTTTTTTTTTTATGTATGTTACCAAATAAATTTTAACCACATGAACCGTTTTCGATTTTTTTTATTGGAAATGTGGTACCTCAAGGGTAGCCCCATATCGTTGTATTTTGGCTTAAAAATTACTTTGCAATACAAAAATATTTGGACCACCTTGGCGAAGTCTCATTAACTGCTAATACTAGGAAAGGATTCGCTGGAACATCATTTCCCATACGTACGACAATCGTTGTGCTTATAAGCTTTTGGTTATTTCTTTATCATAATAAAGCTCGTGCAATTCGATATTCCATTTTCTTCGATACCAGTACATGTCACTCACGCGAAAAGGTCCATAGATTTGGCGCTGAGCATTCCACTTCACGTCCACGTTTCTGCGCCATTTAGAAGTACGGGCAGGAAGATAAGGGCCTCGTAGAATGTTCAGCGTGATATGAGTCGCGAATGTTCTTTCTTGTCTTGACAGGATAGTATCGGTTTCAAGACCAGCGATGTCAATATCTAGCTTCATTGCAAGTATCGTGTCGAGTGCAAGTCGTTTTTCGAGCCGCGACTTGAGTAAGCAATATGAATATTATCGAGTCTTGCAATTTTGTCTAATTTACGATTTATGCAATGAGACTGACTATCTTCAGACGCCAGCAGCAACGTACTCTTACTTCTGAGTAGTACCATCACATTTCCAAACGACATATTGAAGAAGTCACACGAAGAAGAGCCCGTTTTTATAAAAACTTGTTTGGCATCGAACGCTTCCGAGAGCTCTTTGCCAGTTTGGACGAGCTACAGGTTAAATTCAATGTAATTTTTTACAGCGGATTAAGTTTTGTGGAGATGCCAAATTTAGGCGTCGTAAACGCTAGCAAAAGCTATTCTCTTATGTTTGGTCGTTTCCAGGATTTGATTCAATGTGTAAACCTGGTCAATGGTGGATGTTTCAGGCCTAAGGCCACATTAATAAGGCCCTATCAGTTGGTTCTTGAAAGGCTTTAGTTTTTCTCAGTACGACCATTGTGAATCCCGTTGATTGGGTAGAGTACACCGAGACTCCAATCTTCGGGCATCTATGCGTCAAGCCTCTTCGCGCCGAGTTTGAATATATAATGCGGATTTACACCGGAGTCCTTGTTTGGTGGAACTCATTAGAAATGGATGCAATGACTAGAGATTGTGCCGCTAATGAAATCAATGGGCTGCTTTGGACTGTTAATAAAAATAAAAACAATAAAAAACAAGATTAATATTTGGCGCTTACAAATTTGGCTAAATGCTTGGACAAGTTTCTCAGCAAATTTGTGCTACTATAAATGAAGGGACCTACAGTACGTATAACGCCGCTTATGAACGGCAGATGATTTTTATGATCAACTTTTTCTTGGCGAATGCTATTCGAAAAAAACTTGGATGTTGGCCGGTTGAGGAATCGATACTACTACTTTGTGTGTGACCGTAGATGGTAATGGGAAATCTGTCATAAATCATTTCGCAATCAGGCCAAGCCTCCTGCAACCTAGCCTATGGATACTCGTCACTCTTTGGAAGCTTCGACTTACTACTTCAAAATATAGCTTGGTGTGTATCAATGATCTCATTCGATCTATCTTCACCCGCATACCTCCAAGTTAAAAGAGTTCCAAGAGTGATAAAGTTTGAGTCATAAACCTTTTGGCAATCGTTCTCGATAAGTCAGTCGGTGGCAATCGATTCTTAGCTTCGCTTACGTTACGATCGAAATTGATCAGGTGATGTGCTACTCGTCTTTCGCTCGAACTATTCCGAATACTTCCAAATCACGCTGATAAGGGATCAGGCTGATATGGGTACCTGTGCACTGTAGGGAACTACATGGCTGTTGAGTTAGCAAAGCAAAGAATCCCCAACAAACTTTTCACCGATTTATTAGCACTCCTCTAAAAGTATGATTCATTTAATAATTTTTCAAAAATAGCACCGCTTACCTGTAATTAGTTTGCTACTCCATTAAACTGAAATCGTATCTTATTTCACAGCGCTCTCATGCTCTCTTACATTTTGTTGAAGTGCACAGTTGTGTACTTACCAAATAGTACACACATAAACCCATCAATGCCCTCTTGGGGAAATATACAAGCACATATGCTCTGTAGCCTCTCATTTGCGCATATAGCACGCACTCAGTTTACAACAATTTTGTGGCGCTTTGGCGCTTGCAACTTTTTGCTGCTTTCAGAATTTATTTGCATATAAAAGCGACTGGACGCGGCGAACGCACTCGCGCGAACACACATCCTCCAGATGCCAATCATGAGCGACAACGAGCAAAATTATTCGACTAGTAGAGTGTGAAATAATCAATGAGTTTTCAGTTGTACAGTGGCTGTCAAAAGCGTCAGACGGATATGAATTTCATGGTGTCTCGAATGCGAGTGGGAGGTCAAGAAGTGGTCTAATTTTCGTTGACGTCGTGGTCGCGCTATCGCAACGTGACTTTTTACACTGTTAAATATTCGAATAAATGCGAAGAATATAGCACTTACTTTTATTTAACAGCTTAGGCTATCTGTCCGCTGCATCGTTTGATGGGTGTGAGTGAGTGTGTGACGTCTCGCCAGAAAGTTATTAACAAATCAGCAACTGATAATGAAAATATATGGCACTATAGCAAAATTGTGGATTCATTTAAGGTTTCTTAAGGAAAAAGTTACAAATGAAAAATTGATATAAGTACATAATATGAACTTAAATAAGTCAACGAAATAAACTGTAACATTGTAATTTTTTTTCCTATTTTTTGCATAATAGTGCATAATAAAAAAAAAAAAATTAATTGTTAGTGAAAATCAAACAGTGCATGATTAATAAAGAAATAAGTCCAACTAAAATTTTTCCACTGCGTAAGTCATATGGAGTCCTGGAACTGTTGGAGAATACTAAAATCATATCAAAATTCAAAATATATCCAATCAAACCTAGATTAGTGAGACCTGGATATTCCATTAAGTGAAAAACTTTGCTATATGCTTAAAAAAGTTTACAATTGGGGAAAAGTTCTAGAATGAAAGCTCAGTTGGATATCTAGGTATCAGCTGACACTAGATCAGTGTAGACTAGAGACTTACAGTTTTACGCCGCCGCACATGGCTTATTGCTAGAAGTTATTCATGGCAGATATACGCTCGGAGGCTTGTCATTCAGGCTGGATGTTAGGTTAGGTTATAATGGTTTTCCCAGACAAAGGACTCGATTATTAAGGGACAGTTAAGAATTATTATTTGTGAAAAGTAATTACGAATATGGATAATTTCAATGCCTGAGAGCTCCTCAGCCAAAATATTTCCATCTTAGCCTCACGAAGATTGAACAGTCTAATAGAAAGTGTTGAGATGATTCCACATCATCATCCTCTTGATAGCTGATCGAAAAGGGAGCAGATAATATTCCTATTCTTACCCCGGGAATATCAATCGCTAAATGGCCTGTCAGAACCTCTACCAAAAGCGATAGCTGAGAGTTTACAAGCATAATGAGCTCCTGTAACCGCCCTCGGTCTACCCCAGGCAATAGCGCGTGTCCTAGTTTTAACCCAGCGTTCGCTGAGCTGAGATGCTACGCGCACACCGCTTTAAAGCCAGTTAATATCCGTTAATTTTGCTATCTGGATATTATAATAATATCCGTTAATTTTGTTATCCGGATACACGGATATTAACCGGATATTCGCATTTTTTAATCAGACACTCGAATATTCGGATATTAAAAATATCCGGTGGATAGAAGTCACAGCCCTATTATGCATATAAGTTAAGCGAAGAATTTTGCTGCGTGATCCTCTGACTGTCGATACGTTAACTTTTAAAACCTAGTGCCTGTTCGGTTCAGAGATTTTAAGGATTATTAAATTTTTAATTTTTTTAAGTGGCAATTCCATAAAACGCAAAACAAACTATGTAAGTCTCTTTAAAGTGTTAATTACAAATTAAATCTGTCTCCGATACTTGGCCAATAAATATTTAGTTCTTCCAATAGTTTTCTAACATCTGTATTTATTTCCACTTGGCGAGAATGCCTATGGCGACGCCTGCGTACATATTTACATACATACATACATGCATGCATGCATATAAACAAGTGATGTGTGAAAAGAATTTTAAATAATTCAAATGCAAAGCAGCGGTTTTTTTATTTTAATTTTTCAAATTTTTTTCAAATGCTAATTAACATTGTGAAGTGTCGGATTTCAGTGCTGTATGACTGCAGTGAAACTGATAATGCGGCATGCTTGAACAATAGCGCGAAAAAAACACAACAACAATAACAACTAAGTTGAAAAGAAAGAACAAATACATCAACAACAAATTAGCGTGTGTTAGAATAACAACAAAAAATTAAATAATTCGATCGACATTTGTTTTTCCACTTCACTTTTCTTTTATAGTTGTTTTTAATGCGTCTCGAAGTATGTAATATGAGTATTATCGCCTGCATTCTATGCATTTGAGTGTCATATTATGTAAACAATTTGTGATTATGAATAAAATAAAGAATTTATTTGGAAGAAAAGCTTGTTAGACGTTCGAATTATTGCCGCTCTGTTAAGTGTACTCAGTACGTACGCATCGGCAGATTAGTGTGTTTACGATAATCAGAGCGGCATGTAAAATGCGCGCAACGAAAAGTGATAACAATGCGCTAGCGCAACGACTAAAACAACAAGAACAACAAGAACAACAAAGTCCATCTTCATATGACCCGCGTTGCAACAGTAAAATCGCTTATTGCCGTGCTTTTCCTGACTGGCAATTGAGTTGCCTCAAAGCCGAAAACGCTTCAAACGAGATAACAAACAAAGTAACTACAACTCGAGAATCACCACAACAATTACATCATTTACTACAACGATACTACATGGTTTACCCCGTAATCCAACAGTCAGCGATCAGCCTCGGCAAACGCCTCTGTGTACACTCTAGTCGGCTACTTACACGCCACAAACTTAAGCCTGCGGGTTATCAGCAAAGTTCAACGGCAACTATTAATAAGAAAAACCTGACAAGAACAGCACATCACATTGTTATCAACACTTTTAACACTGCCAGCAGTCATGGGCATCACCTACACACAAATAGCAAACGCTGCCTGACGCGCTCACCTTCCATAGTCCTACTTACACTGCTGCTCTTGTGGTTTTCGCACTTAATTGGCAGCTCGTGTGCCGCTCCACAATCCTGTGTACTCTGTGATATCACCGATTTCAATGATCAAGCATCGAATGCACACGCCTATGAGGAATATCATTTTGAGCATCAAGTGACGCGCGTGGAAGCGATCACGGCGTTAAAGGCGTTCAATGCCAGCAATTATGGGGGTAAGAAGGAAGAGGAGGAGGAGGAAGCGAGAGAATTGATGTGTAGTATAAAGTGAAATGAGTTTTTGTACTGTGTTTGTTTTCTATCTCATAGAACCTTCCGGTTGTGCGATCAGCTGTTCGCAGAAGGTGATGAAATATTGCCTGGGGCCGCAATTCATCAACGATCATTGCTGGTGTGAACTGGGGCACACAGAAGGTGAGTAATGAAGTATGCTTAATTATACATAATTTAATTATATAGAAATGTAAATACATTTATCGTCATATTTAATTGGGTGATAATTTGTAATGATTAACTTGTGACAATATTTGCGTTTTTACTGGACGTGATAATCACAGAAATAAGTTGACAGGTTCTTATTTACATATGTATTTATGTACATAAACATGCCTTCTAATATGGTTTTAAGTTAATTTAATATGATTCATTAAAAAATCAAGGTTTTTGCTATTAGTTAGTTTTGCTGTAGTGGTGCTATATAACATTTTCTCATTTATTTTTTCCTATCTTATTTTAGTTAATTTTAAACTTAATCAACTCAATGGTCACTTGCCACCTAGCATTTAATGTCAATTTGTATGCCATTTGACATAATATTTAAATATGGCTAATTTTCAACGATTTTGCCTTTTTTGGGTTGCCTTTACCGGTAACTGTAGCTTGTAGTTACGAACGCAATATCGAATCAAACTTACGTATGTATCTAATTTATGTGATCACTGAGTTGGAAAATTATATGGAGGGATTTTTCTTATACAGTACCTTACCAATTTATTAGGAAATCTTTTCGATTTATTTAAGACGATTAAATTCAGTGCATAGTGTGGCAAAAGTTTATGATATGCATATCGAAGGGAAATGATTTGCGTGAATCCCTTAGAAAATACGTAATCAGCATTAAATTCACTGGGCGAGACTAGCTTCCGTTAAATGGCAAAATGTTCACTCAGGAACCTCATTATAGTTCTGGGCAGCTGCAAAGGAGATTCTCCACCGTTTGTCGTGGTTGGATTAGGGCCGCTTGTTCAATGTCTGGTTATCACTACCACTACACTATCGAAGTTTTCGACATCATTTATCTAACATGTGATCGATTGTCTTTAACCGGAGCTTCTACCTACGATTTGTTTTAATCAGATATTGAACAACCGGCCCTTAGAGCGTAAATCAAAATTCATTTTATATCTTAAATAGAATAGTCACTAATACCGTTCGAGAAGCAGACGCCGCATGATGCAAGCAACTTCAATCTAAAGCTGCTTTTACATGAGGCGATTTTTTGACAGGCGGTAACTGCCTGCAAAAGTTGACTTGCTGTCTACTTTGAGGCAAGTGATTTTTGAATCACCATTTACACGAGCGATTTTTCTGGAGCAATGTTGAATCGCCTCATGTACATACAGCTTAAGATTACAAGTGACGAAAAATATCCGATGAGTAAGGACCGTTTTCTCGACTGCCTGTTAAAAAATGATGGCCGGTCTGCTTTATCGACTTTTTATCGATTGCCTATTATACGCATGTGAGCGACAAATTTGGCAGGCAGCCAAAGCACGGGCACTTCTTTGAGAGGCAGTCTAGAACACGGCCCTAAAACTACAAAATCCAATAAATTCCAATTTTACTGCAACTGCCATTTGTCACAGCCATTTTTTATAGTGTTTCTGGGCCCGCTTGTTATTGTATTTACTATTCCTGTCAAATATCTTTGGAGTTAGTTAGCGGATTTACACTATAAGGCGACGACGAAGTATTGTGTTCCAGTCCTAGCCTTGCATCATGACTACCTAAGGCCAGTGTCCTGTGAAAAGGCAGTGTCGAGACAAATCACTCCTGGTAAGTTACGCAGTAGTTGGGACACAAACTCACTCCTTTAGGCATTGTGGGATTGTAGGCTTTTCAACCTGCAGTTACCCACATTTTGCAGAGCTGAGAAGCGGCCCTTGATCTATGTAGCTCAGATATACAGATATACTATATATGAGATGCACAGAGCCTACCTTGTCGGCCAATTTCGTTGCCCTGTGGTTTTTGTTCACTTTTTATTGTAAACCAACACAAATCAGCCACGCTAACAATCGGATTTCATACTGAATACAAAAATCGATTCGTAATAGGTATTAACAGAATGCAAGCGTTTAACGTGCATCGTATGAATTCATAAATGGGGGGGTTAGTCCTGCCTAGATTGGCTTATCACTTGATCGTTGTCGTCAAGCCGCAAAAGTGTGCCACTTCGATGGGGTAGGACCAGAAGGAGAGGCTGTTAGTTGAGTGGGGCTTAGAGGGCATGCGAATAGGGGTTGCGAGTCGTTAGGTGACTCTCCGCATGCCGAACACTCATTGAACATATCTGCATTTATCTTACTCAACTAGGAGTTTAACCGAGGCGTCAGGTGGCTGTATTCCTAAAACGGAATTCACAGGTGTTGTGCTCCTTGACGGAGAGCATGTGGGCCTCGTCGTGTAGGTGGTGTTCAGGTATCTCTTGGTGGTCCGGAGTGCCGAGTATTGGCAGGCCTGAAGCATCATACACTGCATCCTGCTAGTCCCCGGCGACTCCACGGGTGCTGCATAGTTTAGAACGGGCCGGCCTTGTATGTTGCGTTTTCCTCAGCTGCTGCCGGCTAACGACTTGAGGACCTTGTTGCGGCTCTGTACTCTATTGACAATTACGGTTGCATTCGCCGAGAAAGAGAGCAGACTGTCGAAGGTAGCTCCGACTATTTTGGGCTTGTTGATAGTCGGAATTATTTCGCCGTCCACGTGAATTTCCAGCTATAGTCTGAACTTTTTCGTAAAAAGGGTTGCCGAGTATTTCCTAGGGTCACCTTTGACCGATCGAACGCTGCTAGAGCTCTTCTCTCACAGTGTTAAGTGCTGTGCACTTTGCGGAAGCTATGTTGATGCCTCGCTGTGGTCAGGTGGCACGTAAAGTGTGTTAGTAGCAAGGCCTCTAGTGTCTTCGCCACCGGGGAAAGGAGAGTTATCGGACGATAAGACTCTCCTTGGTTGGTCGGTTTCCCCGATTTCAGCAGTGGGAACATTCTCCCCGTTTTTCAGATATCCGGAATGATGAGAGTAGTCATAGACAAATAGAGGACCGTGAAGAGATAGCTTCGTAGGGTTGACCTTACGGTTGACCAGAACTTATTCACAACAGAGGTGAAGTTGCAAGTCTTCAGCTGCTCCTTCCACTTTTTCCGTTTATTTAGGTTTACTAATTACCGAATTTCCTGATGCGGGGATTTCCGTAATCGGTCTGGCGAAAGTAATAATTCTCCTTCTCTTTCTTCGAGGCGGAAATAATACGTTGCGAACGTAGTAGACGGAAATGTAAAACAATAATTGAAACAATGTAAATCCTCGAAAGGTTTTGATACCACCCATGTATACAAGACTATATTTATTTATTATGTATGCATGCATGTCCATATGTATGTATGTATATATGTACATAATGCTAATTGCTTCTTCTTTAATGCTATACTCATAATCACAAATTCACTTTACCAATTCAAGAAGTCAATGTTACTTCTGTTTAACTTTTAATAGAAACCGTTGGACCTCTATGTGCGATCGATTGATTATTAATTGATGCAACCTCGATACTTGCCGAGAATTATCGCACAATATTATAGCAGTTGCAATGTACATACATATGTTATATACTCACGAATGTATGTACATACATATGTATATTTATAAGTACATATCAACAAATAAATTTATGTATATACTCGTATATTTTGCTACTTAAAGTGATGTTAAAAGCATTGATTGCCTAACTTGTTTGCAACGCTCTAAAAATTGCATGACATGCCAACAAAAACGCGCAAAAAATAAAAAATAAAAAATAAAAACAAATGTAAGTACTGGGAATACATATTAAACATATGTATGTATGTATGTCCATATGTATACTTTAATATGGATGGGTAGGTGCATAGTTAGGTTCTATGGTCCCGTTGAACGTTGCATAGAAATCAAATGTATTGGCCGTCAATTGAACGATTTTTTCCGATTTGTTATTTTGATTACTTTTTACCGATAAGTATGCAGTTGTACACACATACACGTCTATTTTTTGAAAAATGTTCAATGCATTTTCACGAACACTGCTTCGATAGAGCACATGTTCTAGCTAAGAGTACATACATACATATAAATAAAATAGCACACAGCTAAGCGGAGTCATTGCTACAATCGATACACTCTGTTCTTTTCTATGAATTCACTAAGTTCACTTACATATATAAACACTCACTCACGTACATACATATGTACTTATAACCGTGCATATATGTAGGAGCTGATAGAAATGGTCAGTCCATTAACCACCGGTAGCCGGGTGCGTCTTCATTGCCATTAACGCTCGCATTGCTTATTCATTGAGGCATGCAGCAACTAGTTGGTATGCAAAATACGCGCTGCAGTTTAGTATTATTTTTGTTTTTTATAAACTTACAACTAACAACAACAGACACATTATAATGACGTGCAAATTATTTTAAATGCTGAAAGAGGCAACAAACGCAAAAATGGCTATAAAAAAACGTTAGCGGTGGCAAATCGTAAGCGTCGTTTTTTTGGCTAGGAATGAACGCATAATTTGTCGTCTTTTATTGTATTTCAACATTTATAGGTAGGATATCAAATAACTAAATAAAATTTCTATATTTTTATGACTTACTGTTCGTTAGCGTACATTGTTATGTAGAAAAGCAGGAATTTTCAAAGGTGTTGCTGCCCACATAAATAAATGTTGTCAACACCAGCATTGACTATCTTTCGACTTTGGTGGCATATTTGTGTAGGGGCAGTGGCGCACAAAATAAAGTGTGTGTATGTATGTTTAGAAAAATTTACTCCGGAAATACTGGCATGTACTAGCACATGCATGAATGAAGAAATGAAAGAATTCTTAGGATTTACAAAGTTGGTAGCGCCATTTCCGGTCTTTTGTGTCTCCAAAAATATACATTTATATATGTATATTATTAAAACTATACCAAATCTATATACTTATTAGAGTTCGCATAAGTGACTTATTATTTAATTTATTTATTTCATTTTCCATTAGTCTACAGAAATTAGTATTCTTACAGACTATTTATTTTCTTTCAACAAAGTTTCTTTATACATTAATTATAGCATAATTAGGCGTAGTGTAGGGCGCGCTACCATTCCGCAGG